CATGATATGATATATGATTTGATATGGTATGGCATGGCATATGATATGATATGGCATGGTATGGTATGGCATGGTATTGTATGGCATGGCATGGTATGGCATGGCATGGTATGGCATGGTGTGGCATGGCATGGTATGGCATGGCATGGTATGGCATGGTATGGTATGGTAAGGTCTGGCTTATTCAGGCCTGGCAATGACAAGAACTGGCAGACAGTAGGAAGAGTGCTGTGTTGTTTTACAAAGTAGAACGAAACAACAACATATGTTAAAGTATTGTCTGTTTACCCATAAAGAGCCTTTGTTGGATTTTATTGAATTAATAATCTGATTAGGAAAAAAAAATACTTAAAGATCACATAATTTCATTTGGATTTATCGATATGAAGCATCCACTATAATTTTAAAACATATCGTATTGGACGATACTGCCCTTGTTTACTTGGTATCAGATCGCAACCACCAGTAGACCACGGTTCCTCTAATGGCAGAACTAACATTTTGTTTAGTGGAGTTTCATTAGGGATAACTTTTGAAACTGTTAGCAGATCATTTAACTTTCACGATATTGTGTTTCAAAAACTTTCTGGTAACACCTCTTGAAGAACTCTCTCCACATCCAAATAGCATGCAGTGGAATTAAGATTTACACAAAACAATGCTATAATTACCCCAAGTGTTGCAAGATGATGTCATCCTGTAAGGTAAGCTTCCATCCCTCTTATGCATACAGGAACAACCTCTGACTCATGGTGTCAGTTTACAGCCAATAACAGAGACTTCAACATAAATGCCAAATCAAACCTGAGCAGGACAAGAACGAGAGCAACCCCTTCCCACACTCAAACATCATAAACAGAAACATTGCACACATATAGTAATTCCTACAAGGTTACCCAGCATCCTTTGCGACACGTATAGTCTCTCTGAGATGTGACTCTCTCACACATTTTGCACATCTTTGTTTTATTCTGTGGCATACGAATATCTGTCTTTTAGTGTAATTAATGCTTATTATAAGAACTAAAATGGTGGAAACACAAGTTGAAAGGCTGCAGTGATGCTCCGTTTCTCTCTCCTCTCTGTCTCAACTGATGAACTGTAATCGCCTGCACGTGGGATTAAACAACAAACAGATTTATTACCGACAGAATGTTGACAATGACACACAGCGACTTTGTTGTTAGGTTAAAACATAGTTAACCAAAAAAGAGGATCGCTAAAGTGATTTACATGTAATTCAATAATAGTAAATGAAAGAGATGTCCGACACACATTGAATGCATCACTCTGCCACAGCAGAGTTCTGCTGCACCTGATTAATTTCTGAAAACTCACCTCTGAACGGGACATGGACACTTTACCTGTGATTTATGAGCCGTGTGTTCACTTTCAACGTTGGCACATTTCAGACAGTCTTATAGCGACAGAAGTGCATTTCCATTCAACCTTTATTTATACAGGTTAGTCTCATTGAGCCCCGGGGATTCATTTACAAGAGAGACCTAGTTTTAACAAAAAGTGATGACAACAGCAAAGACAACAATAGAAAATCATAAAAAAGCATGTAAATTGAGAAGAATAAATGAAAGATGTATATGAGGTATGATAAAAGTTGACGTTATAGCTTCCGTAAATTTATTTACTTGTTTAGTGGTTCAGCCTTATCAAAGCTAAAACATTGGGGTTAGCTGCCCACCACTGCAGATTGTAAATTAAATTACAATTTCTGACTTAATGTTTGGGGGAGAGTGAATCATAAAGGGAATTTTGTCTTTTTTCTTTGTGACATATGGCACTTTTTCAGGAAGATATGTGCGTGCCATCCAGTTCAGCACCAAACTTTTACGCACAGAAACCATCCCTCCAGTCAAATAACCACAATTTCTTTAAATGTCCCGCATTAATCTGATCAGGACACATGGGACAGATTTGAACTGGCGACTCAGCATCAGAAAAAAAAGTTCTTTTTGAAGCTGGAATAAAGGTGTAAGATATCCTGATACATGCTCAATAATCCAGGTAGAAAAATCCAAAAAAGTTCAATCTGGTCCTCTGG